TTGATGGGAGTGACGGATAATGATATTGATATTCCATATAAGATGGCGGTCATGAAAAAACTTACAATTCGGGGCCAGTATATGTATGAGAGGGAGGACGCAAAAGGACTCATTAAACTTGTTGAAAGCGGATTGCTGAAACTTGGAAAAGCGGGTGGCAAGGAGGTTGTGGGCGAATTCTCGATTGAGCAATGGGATGAGGGAATCAAGTCTCTTATTCAGAATCCTGAGCCTGAAAAAATGGCCATTATGTATCTTTAGTTTGGAGTTACGGGAGCATATTCTCACTTGAGTTTTTTGTGTCCTTAGCTTTAAGTTATCCCTCTCGCCGAGCAGTTCAACTGCAGTCTATTTAAGAAACTTTCAACATTTTGCGTGCTAGCATCTAGTGCCCAATCAGATTTATTACACAGAATGACATCATTTCACAGAAAACTTATTGTTAAACTGTACTGCAGGCTATTTCAACCCTTACCTTTTTTCCCTATCCATCCTTAACTTTCTTTGCCTTGAAAGCTTCTGCCTTACATCGAAAAAAAAAACCCCTCCCTCACCAGCCGTACAGCCGCAGAAACAGCAACCACACGATATAAGATCAATACGAAAACATACATTTGCAAATTCCTTTCAATTTCCCAACTTTCTCATCATGTTTCAGTGCCACCATAACCTTTCTAATCTTCACTTTGAACAAATCACCCGGCGCCGCAGACATCTTCTCAATCATCCCCTCCATCCTTTTAATCTGCAAGATGCATCCAGCGACTACACCACGAAAATGCATATCGAGATTCGAATCGGCATCCAATTAACTGATTTGAGAATCCGTGTTCATGCGCCCTAGAGAAGATAGATACCAGAAGTGAAAATTAGACAGACATAGTGTAGCTTGCAGCGATTGAGGAACTGGGGAGAAATGATTACTGTTAAGATCATCTATTCATTTCTGGCGGCTGTAGTTCTATATTTGAGCTTGTCCGTCAATTACGAGATCTGGGAATCCATGATCAATCATAGCTGTGTGTATACTATGAACTATAAGAAACCAGTCAATTTAGGAGGAAACAGGCTAAGCGTTGAATTGTGCGGCCGAATTTCATGCACCTGGTGTTGAGGTAACAGCTCGCCGTGCTTAGAAAATACGATTCCACGTCAATTTTGCATTTAAGGGGGGATTTGTGATGGAACTAATTTGCGATCATGAAAATGCGAAATGATTAACCATAACTTGCTTTCTTGAGACTCAAACAACTAGAGAAGAGACATTTGTGTGAAAGTTACGCTCCGAAGCTCACCAAACAGCGACATGCGACATTCGTCTAACCGTAATGCAGACGTACGTGTACCCGATGGTTTAGACTGTAGTTCGAGAAGACGAGCTATTCGATTGCTGAAATATTCTCGATTATCGATCCTGTCTTGCCCGAGAACAATGAACTTACTTGTAGACCCGAAGAAAGCATTCTGAAAGAATCGAAGTCTAGAGAGCGCTCATTTCGGACTGCAGTCTGAACAGTTGAATATACTTTGATCGTAAGCCAACGTTTGATTTTTCACATTATTGAATGGGAATCAACAAACACGTTGGCTTGATCAGGGAATATCGATACTTCGATACTTTGAGCGACATTAATAGGATAGAATAGCGCAATATGTTCTTGATCAATTGACACTTTGGGCTGCCATTCTGTGAAGATTGCTTCTTTAATGAGCTTTGACAGAAAAATAGGTCGACACACACATAACATCAAGCACTTGCGTGATGAAAAAGAGAATTGTAAAAGGTTTCATATGAGCCATCAGCACCGCGTAATAGAAAATTCGTCTAGGCAGCCTGCCATAACCACCTACTTGTAGCTCGAGCGAAAGTATTTGCAGATTCTCGTTACAACACAACTCCCTAAATCGCGACGTTGGCTACACTAAACATACCCCAAGAGTTGAAGCCAACTAAAGAACCCATGCAACTAAAGCAGTAATATCGAACTGATATTTTTCCAAGGAGAAACTTCTTTCGGAGAAGAGTACTGTTACAAAAGCCGAACAACCATCCTCAAAACCCCGCATAAAATGCAGTGCAAATTGTAAAGAACTTATTTACTTCTTCGCGGAAAGAGTATTGGAGTAATCTCCGAATTACCATCTCCTACGCACCTTTAAAATAGCCAAACATTACAAGAGCGTGTACAAGATGCGATATGAACAGCCTGATTTGTCTGTTGAATGCGTCTTCATTTCCCCGGCACCCTAGGTATTAAGTAGACATCTTGTAAGCATGCCATCCATTGATTCCAGACGGTAGTAAAGTACCTGGAAATGAAGCTGACCGACTGCGAATCTGTCGGTTCTATAATCCCGATTATCATAGCGCATGCTGACAGCAACTGAAACATAACACTTGTATGCTTACATTACAGTATACGCTGCTATACTTTATATCAAACGAAGCAGACTTATCTTGCTATCCAATCACCCTCTTAGTATGGTAAAGTGGCCAGATCAGATACTTACAACATCTATAGCGAGAAACAAATAATTCCAACAACTGTCTCACGGTATGTAGGATCGGATATGATAGACCCGAGTCATCAGCACTTAATAACTCGGCTTCCACCTCTTCTGCCCCATTCCCCGCAGCGTATTAGCGGCACATATAAGAATGTGTGTGGTCCCTGAATAAGGCTGGACCTTACATCTCATCTCGTCTCCAGTCGAAAATCTCCAGAGTACGATATGTGTACCTAGTATAGGATTTCATCAGAATTAAAACAGCGTTCCCCCCTTCCCCAACTTTGGGGACTAGAACTGCACAAATTGTTTTTCGGGAACACTACTCCCCGGTCGTGTAAACATAAAAATTGGTTGCGTCTACCTAGGTAATACTTGATCCGCTTCAGGGATTATCAAGCGTGAAAAGACTATATTCTATAAATTAGACGATAATCTTAGGATAGCGTGAGCATGTGAGATTCAAGAAGCTGATGCGGTATATTTGGATGACTCGTACGGCGGGTGCATGCATATCGAAGGTGTGCACACCTTGTCAATCAGCCCTCTCATCCCATCCATCCCAAGTTCAAACGGCGTGTTAAAACCCCCCCCCGAGCGGTACATTTCTCGGATTCTAGTCTCCGTACTCGGGCCCGACGCGGAGGCTTTTGGGATTCGTCCGCTTGTTGATTGGTACTATGATCCTATTTGTCGCACACATACTCCGTGCTGTGTAATCTATGCTCAAAGGGGTACACAACACGTTAAATGCTTACGTACGTACGAACGAACGAATATACGAATACGTCGTAAGTTAAACGTTAATTTGCGCAGTAGATGCAGAACCTAAATAGATGATCGTAAATCGTATATCCATCCATTGAAAACGATTCTGTAAAATCATCTGATAAAAGCCACGTTTTGCTTTCTCAAATATCCACATTACCATGTTGAATCCGCGGATGTGAAGAAATGTGCGAAGGATGGATGTGTCTAATAAACAAATTCTAGTTCATCACTCAGACTCATCTATCATCCACCATCCACCATCACATCCCACCCACCACGGAATGCGGGAACATCAAATAGCATATCCGACCGGTAATTCGGCACTGCCTTCTTGGTTTCTCGCGATGTGTCGAATCTTCGATTGACGTTGACACTATCTACATGCCCATGTATGGAATTCTGTACAGAGTTGGTAAAGTAAATCCCGCATTGAACCAGGGTCAGGAACGGATTTTGACGGTTGATGTAATCATGGATCGTGGCTCGCGGTTTGTGGTTCGTAGTGTGTAAATTGTGATATAAAAGATCATATCATATGATGTCTTGATTTTTGCCTAGGTCAATGGATAGAACGGATACAGCGGGGCGGAGGTACTTGGTTTATAAGAGCTTTTTCACAATTACTCATTATGAGCAACGGAGAGGAGAAAGATACTTCTGTCCGAAACCCTCCGCAAGCCACATGCATAATAACTTCATAACTAAATAAGGACGGACTTCATTCAACGCGCGCGCGAGCACTAAATTTTATGCAAAAAAGGTGAGCAAAAAGCTTATTCACCCTGTCGCTGGACATTTGGACATTTGGACATTCTGTGGACATTCACATCCTTGTATATGCCGGACATGCATAAACTCCGCACCGTCGGGTTCTGATTGGTATCCTACAACGTCCTAAAGATATTAAACCAGCAAGTCAAACACCCTTATCGACTTAATAATCAACGCGGAGTGTGTTTGCCCATGTAAGCTTTCATGGGATATCTACCAAGTACTGGCTATTTCCCACTTCAAGGTAGGAGTTGAGGAGAGTGTATCCTTACAATTGGTTGGTTTTTTCTAGATACGGTGGGCTAAGTACTTCAATCGTCGAGATTGGTATTGATGTTGATATTGATATATCGATATCCTGGGATATAGTAAAGACCCGACTCACTGGACGCAGCTCCGCTCTACTTCCTAATTTCGATTTTAGAGATGAACAACTCACATCACGTTTTTGGACTCCAACACATTACCACCAAAAGATAGAGATGATGAAGGATCGTCTATTAGATAGACGCCGAGTTGACTTTCTCTCGACTCTAAGAAAGAGCGCTGAAATTGTTGCCCCCAGGACCTAAAGGAGTCCTGGCTGGCTATTCTTCTTCAGTGAAACCTAAGAAAACTACACTAATCTATTTGATCAAGTATCCAAGTCCACATGGTCGCTTTGCCGCAACTCTAAAATATACATGTCGTCTATCATTCCCAAGTCAATCCGAGATTCCACACATTCAACCAATGAATAACGCCCTGGTATATATATCCCTGTTCCTATAACTCCTTAATCGATGAATCGTGACCTTGTTAAATTTTCCGTCTTAAACCATAGTAATGTGAGAGTGAAACCGTTCCCATGGTGAATACACTAGATCCTGGTGATTACCAAGAAACCCTCCGAAAAAAAAAATTACATTGTAAATTGCAAATCGTTCTGCCTTGGAAAAACACTCATCGTCTTAGTAATTTGACAAATCCTGGCGGTAAGATTCATCTACAGACGAAAAGTCCCCGACTGGTTCATCGAAGCCCGAGCCAAACATGAGGTCATTCGATGTCAAGTAAGATGCTTCGTCGAAAGAGTTACCGGCACCTTGGGTGTTGAATAATAACATGTCGGGGTCGTAGAATTGTGGATTCGAGAAGTCGTCAAGAGCCGGACTAGGGGAAAGACATGGATCTTTTTGCAAGTGAGAAAGATATGGCGATGAAGATGACGAAGCATCGAATTGATTGGAATGTTCAGAATATGACAATGGTGTGCTTGCCTGGTAAACAGGTGAGAATGTTGAGTTGGTAGACTGTAATGGCGAGTTTGTGTGATGTGTGGTAGAGAACGATGATACTGTAGAGGCAGATAACGCTGGTTGCTCTTGAGAGTTGTAAGGCTGTGGTTGTATCTTTAGTCCAGGTGCTCGACGGACATCCACAGCCGCGGTGTTTCGGTTGCTAAATGATTCCCTCGCCGGAAAGTTTGATGAATCATTCATCATGTTTCCTACAAGCACGTTGACGTTTGGAAATTGGCTCGTACTCGCTGACTTAATCGTGGGTCCATGTGACATTCTAGAGTTGTCTAGTGTTCGATCTTGAGTTACTGATTGCTGCTGGGGTTGAATGGAAGGCTCATCTAAACTACGATGTGTCTCCGGTAAAGAAGTAAATGGGTTTGACTGATATATCGGTAGAGAAGGTAGCCATTTGGAGAATGTTGGTGGAGTTTCTGGGGAAGTTTCCTCCTCGATAGATTCCGGTGAAGCTGCCCCTTCGCTAGACCTGGGGGCTTCGGTCTGGATCCCCTGCTCGAGTTGAGAACTCTCTTCCGCTAAAGATTCTGCCGATAATCGAGCCAGTAGAGCTGGAGCGTCCTCGATGAAGTTTTCTGGAAGTCCAGGTGCATTGCGTATACATCCAAGTGCCTGAGCTATATCATGAATAACCACAGGTCCTTTCCCTCCATCCTTCATCCTAGGCTCTGCAAAAGTCCATTCCTCTCTATTCTTTACCATACGCCAGAGCTTGTCGGTAACAAGTATCATGGCCTGGTTACTATGTTCTAGGCACTCAGTGTATCTGAGTTCATATGTCAGAAGCTGTTTTGTACGACTGTAGAAATTTACTCACCCTGGAGGATACTTTTTGATTTCCGTGTGCTTTCCGTTGCCTGACTCGCATATCACGTTTGCATCGACACACGCATTGCAAGCAATATCACGTTCAATATCGCACTGTCGTATGATTAGAACTTGAGAGACAAATCTCTTCATACGATGATATACATACTTTTATCTTTTTATTGCGACAACGCTCACATGCTCTCGTAGCTCTTTTATGTCGTTTGCCAGCTTCATTTGGAGATGTGGGAACTAGTTGTCCACTTGACTTACTCTCTCTCTTGCGCTTTCGTACCACATGTTTTGAACCCTTAGGATGATTTATGTCGTCGGAACTAGTCATCTTGAAATTGAAATTCCAAGTTGAGTGATCATCAATGTAGATTTTCGAATGATAGAAATGTTTCCAGAAAAAAGCTATGGAAACCTTTTATGAGTATATAGAAACTAACAACAAGATACTACTGAGTACTAAGTAAGTTTGAAGTTAAAGATTTGTAAGGTCGAAAAGACATGCAGTTGTGGGATTATGCGTGGTAATAAACTATGTATCACTTGGAAAGGTCGACCGTTAATTATATGAAAATAAATAAAAATGGGAACCCCAAGTGCTAGGCGCCTTTTGATATCTAATGGCGGACCTGGAAGGAAACCTTATACCCGTCGACCGAAACGGCGGGTGATATTGTTTGATTATGTGAGGTGGTCCGGTGGAAAAGAAGGTGCGTCCCCTTGCTGATAAAGTCCTAGACTCTTGGATCCCAGTCATTCGGATTGAATCCTTAAGTCCGCGCAGTCAAATAAAGTAAAATAAGTAATCATGCATGGGTTCTCCCAAGCTCCTACACTCCGTAGAGTAGATTCAAGATTGGCATCGAATGGATTGCGGGATATGGACTTTTCGTGTATTCAGGTTCGACGTTGGGGACGGATGAGACTACTAGGATTGGTGTTGGAAGTAACTCGGTATCGATATGAATGAATGTATGAAAATAGAAAGGAATTGCATTTTTCGCTTCTCGCATCACTCCAAAATGTTGGAATGAAGGGATGAAGGGGTGAGAAAAAAAGGTTCATGGTAGTCACACAGAACAGGGCGTTTGTGGTACCAATATTGAATGATGGGAATGAATGGATTAAGACCAATAGGGTATGTTTTCAATGGGAGTATATACGTCGTCCATCGTAATTTTACACCCATACATCATCATCATGAATATCAGTTGGGCATAGATAGATTCATGAATTAGACTAGGAGGAAACCTAAAACCCTAAATTGTGACTACATGTCACCGAAGTCAGAGTTGACTCTTGAGCTACTAGGGATAGCATAAGGTTAGACTTGCAGAAAGAAACGGAGTACTGCCGCTTTAATGCCCTCGTCTGAACGTATTAGATTCTAGAAGGAGAATCTATACGTACTCTGGACACGGTGATGATACTTTGATCTCGTAAGCATTGAATCTATGACTTTATCCCATCCTACCTCGAGCCAACCTCAAACCCACCCTCACCCGTGAATACTTAAAGTATCCGGAGGTAGGTACCTGGGTATAGAATAAATTTGACATATTTGAAAGATCCAAAAGATCCAAAAGCTTCGAGAACTCTTTTCAATCTCCCACACATCAAGCATTGACCATGACACAGTGGTCGATGATGACAAAACATCTACGGAGTGCAATGGCTTGATAAATAATCAGTGGGTAATCAAGTTTAAGTTGCATAACCGCGTTGGAATGTATCCTTATATCCTAATATCCGAGCATAAAGTTAAGGTATTTTTTATTCAAATTTCTCTTCGTTACGCACATGAATGTCATTCCTACAGGGCTGACACATCTTAGTATCCAACCGCGGTGAATCACACAGAGTACAGTGGAGCTACACTTCAAGAATTTTCATGGAAAATCAAAAAAGTCCGTAATAACCGGCTCACATTCCGATCAGGTCTCCGTTCGTATGGACAGAGTTGAATCTAATGAGCTTCATGAGATCGTGAGATTGTCCATCAATCTACTGACTATAGCGTTCCTACTGACCATATAGCTGGCCATACAGTCTCGACAAATAGCGAACCGAGAGACTCAATCGTTTCGTTCAATGGTATCTGTTTCCTCCTGTCCATGTGAGAACACTCCCAAAGTTTATTTGACAGAACGCCAACAGGGCAACGCACGAAGTTGATTTATATCTTATTGATGTATCATATCATGCATATGTACACCCACCTCCAACAACACTCATCGACATCGACATCGACATCGACATCGTCATCACTATCACTATCACTATCACTAACCATCACGATCACGATCACGATCACTAGCACGAAGAAGAACTTGAATGGAGCTAGTTAGCTAGACTTGCCTAGAAGTCCCGACGGCTCCTCTATCCATAACTATTGATGCAGACTAATCGATTTTTTCCCAGATGTTGGATTAGTTGCTCCTTTACTGTTTATTCAATTCCAACCATGATTCCTGTTACATCGTTCTCAATTGTGATTTCATCATCGGATCAGATTGTAGACGTGCATATCTATCTAGCAGATAAACTAACTTTCATGGAATCATTTTCCACAACTTCAAAATCGTGATCGGAATTTCCAGTTTACCGTTTCCCGTTCAAAATCGACATTCAAAGGCATGCTAATATAATAATATATATTCTTTTAAACCTAATCCATCAACAGAAACTTTTCTGTTGCAGCCAAAAGGCATCAAGCAAAATCCTGGCATTTGACAGTGCATGCGATTGAAAAGGCCCCGCCAGCACAAAATTGATCGGATGCCGTTCTCTTCCACATGGCAATCAGATAAAATTCTCCATCAAAACAAATCGCGCACATCGTTGACGAAAATGCGGTGATGTCCTCTTTTAGCAACTCGTCTCGTTTTGGAAAAAGAACCGCCGGAAGTGAGCAAATCCCGTCTACCGACATGATTTCCACTAGCGCAGTCGAATAAGGTTAATGATTGATGAGAGGAGGCTGAGGGACTTTCACATCAATCTATACGAAGTGAACGGAATCCCCCTCAACTTTCACAAATCACTGGATGCAACAATCTGCATCCGACTGAAGATCAAACCTTTTCTGTGTTTAACGCTTCCCCGCACGGTGATATGGTCATGTTGGCAGCGTCGTGCCGCTTCTACGGAAGATCGTTATCTTAAGTCGTTATGTTAAGACGTTGTCACCAAAGCCAAACCAAGTTCGTTCCACGAAGGCCTTAATTCCATTGGCACATCTGTTTAAACCTCAAACGAAAAAAAGCCATTTCACATACATTGCAAGATTCCCACGCCATCGATAGCAACCAGTATCTTTATGCGTTGTAAAGCAGCCTTCCTATCAAACCACCCCCTCGCGCCCAGTAGCTCGTCCAGCTTATCCTACCTCCAATTGAAATCCTTGGCATTAAAAACAAAGGCTTCGCATACCGTATATCGCATTCCGTATATCGTATCCCGTATCCGAGGTCACTTTACAAGCATGCATCGCCTCGACAGGAGTACGCGTCTCGAGTTTGTATCAAGAAATGCCAAGCACCGAATGAAATTGAGAAGGGCATAGCCACGACACTGTATTCAGCTCAGAAATCAATTCCCCTATTGATCTCTTGACAATCAAGATCACCAAGATACGAACCGGCCAATTGGTTGCCATTGCTTTCGCCCAAGAGCGGAGAAGTGCTTGGAATATCACGTGATAATCCATCAATGGTCTATCTAATGAGTGTGGTTCCCATATTCTAATGTTGTAGGCGACATTGGCTATAGATTTTATATCTTGTATTACCATTGTGTGTTATTGCTCGCGTCTGTGACAATACTGGCTACAGACGACAACATTTGAGACCAGAGGATCGTCCACCATCCTTCATGGTGCCTAAAAATCCAAGGCTAAGAAAATATCGACAGTGTACTAAGCAATTGTAGCATTTGATATACATTGATATTGCATGATTTAAGTGGTGGGCTGAAGTAAAACGTCGACACTGATAAGGCAAGGCTGATCTATATCCATACCATTTTTGTTATTACTACACACTTCGCGAGATCGAAGAGGAAAAAGTATCGATTGTCCATCAGCTAATCATCACAAAACCTACATGGTGTAGTAACCATCTGTCACGCGGTTTAGCATAATTCTATTCCATGAGATTGTCAGGTTTACTGTCAAGATCCTCCTTTTTCTTATATCCACATTTCCTTCAGTGAAGAGTGTCAGGTTTTGTAGGTCAGTGCCTATGAATGTTGGAGCCATGTAAAAGATCGGACACGTCAAATCAAATCTGAAGATCTGAAAATCCTTTTGTTATTATACTTTCATTCTAACAACTTTCAGTCGTGCCATTGAGTTTAGAACTTCTCTCAGCCACCTGTTCGAAGAACGGTTGATCAGCATAAGCGGGTCTTGTCTCACCGGAAATACGTTAGGACTAGTCAAGACGTTGATCCCTCGATTCTGAACCCCATCTGGAGATACGGTAACCGTTTTTCACAGGAGGTTTACTGAAGTCTCCACAACTATCTCATAAAAACTATTCCAACCATTCTTTCGATGTTGCAAATAGTCCTTGTAGCCCCAAAGCTCTCGACCCAGGACTGAAAGAGATAGGATATTCCTACAATCATAAAGCATATGATAGCTATTCAATTAGCGAACTTTCTCATGGAGAAAGCCTGGAGAGAATATGGAGATCCTAATGTAAAACATGGTGAATCCGAGGAATTCCATGTTTGACGACTTGCAACAAAATTTGTATCTCAGAGCGGTTCAATTTGATTGGATCCTTTTCATATGACTTCGAAGCTATGGGCATGGGAAAGTCTCAAAGACTATGGATTTTCGAACAACCCCATATCTATTGATGTGAAAAAGGACGTTTGTTTCCCAGTTCTAGTTGGAATCTTTCTAGGGCAATTTGACCTTGTCTCGAAGTTAGAAGAGGGCGACGGGTTCTGGTGACTCCCAGGTCCGTTTCGACAACTTGGTATTGTATTATATCCAAGAAGGCTGGCGGATCTGAATAAATCCACGTGTGCTAAGGATTGCATCCGTTCTACATAGGGCTGGCTAGGTGAACACGGAACTACACCGATGTCTCAGCTACTGTCGCAGTTGAGACAGTCTCTCAATCCTCGGACGATTTTTAGCTTGGTTCGCGTCGTCTTTGCTACTCTCGCATTTTGTTTTACTCTTCTCAGGCAATATGCCAGTTATTCTTGAGTAGCATTTTGATAATGTCTGTCGCATTGCTACAAAGGTTGTAAAGTGTAACACGCGGAGTAGTAGGACTAGAAAAGTATTAAGCACATGTTCAACTAATCGAATTGGAGGGGATCTATAACGATGGCTCATCGGAGAATACATTAGGTATCCATATCGATTCATCGATGTGGCAATCCATCATATCTCACATGCGGGATTTTCATAGATGATCCTGAAGTGAGGGGAGAGAAGAAAAGCAAGCATGATTACTTTGTTTGATTACGCTAATTCTGCCTGCTGCTTTCGATGAGCATTTGTTATTTCATTCCTATCTAATGCTACATTTCCAGTTAGAGGGTGATTCTTGTTCTGTCGGAGAAGAAGATTCCGAGAGTACCTCAACCTTGTGTTAGTGATAGGGGTGATTTATTACGATTGTGGTGTGTAAGGTGAGGGTGTTGCCTTTAATTTTCACTGTAATGAGGTATCATCAGAATCAGAAGATCGCAAATTGGAAAAGCAGATATTCCACAGTAGATGGATGCACTGACAATGTATGCCAGGCTTCAAAAGTTGTAAATCACATTGCTCAATGTTTTGGAATACCTTGAGTTATATTCTAAAATAAAGCATAGGAAAAAATGCAAAACACCGAAACTCCCAGCGATCAGTCCGCAGTCTCTTTCCCCTGTCTCCCAACTATGCTAAACCCCACTTTCTAGTCTTCACCTTTCTTACTACGTCTACGCCATCATCTTTGAAATGAAGTTCGGCCTCGGTATGGGGACTTGGTACGCGATGCTTACCACTGTTTATTTTGCGCTCATCGTTTTTGGATGCAGATGCTGGAAGCTTATGACCTGTCCGGGGATCCGATCTGTCTCTTGATCCACCTCTTGATCTGCCTCTTGGTGTGTTAGGAACATTGCCCGCCGATGGAGGAGCCTGCGCAGGTACACGCACTGGGGCTCTTTCCGTGACCCATGGTACTTTAGGGTGATTGGGCGTGCTCCTTTTTGAGCTAGCTGAAGGTTGAGGGAGACTTTTTTTGGCCTTATTTGTCTCTTTATCAGCTTTCAAGCTCTCTTTAGCCATGTTATATTCCACCACTTCAGGGTTTCCTTCTTCCATTGTCTTCTTAGCACCTGTGGCCTCGCGGTGCGTTTTCACGGGCTCCTTGTGGGCGAGCTCATTCATGTCTTTTTCTGCTTTCTCAAATTCCCTAACAACCTCAATTTCTCTCAACTTTTTAACCTCTTTATCTGAACCTTTTGGACCTCGGGCAGTTTGGAATTTCTTCACCTCATTTTTGCCTTTCGTGGCGTTATAAGTACGAACCGCCTTGTAATATCTCACAACATCTGGATGTTTCTCGTTGTCCTTTACATTCCTGCAATGTCCCCTGTAGGTTCCAAGACTGGCATGCTCTGCAAGCCTTGCAATTTTTGCCTCAGTTGTTTCTACTTTCGAACTTGACATTTTGGTTGGATCTGAATGGATATTTTGTAGATTCGTTTAGTCCGTAATAATTGTGTATAAGAGATGACTCTTATATATATATATATATTTATGGTTTTTAAGGTTGTAAGTTGAGATTTCTAAGCTATTGAATTAATTGTTGTGATGTTGAGTTGATTGTTGTGATAGTGTCGCTATTGATGGGTGGAATCGTGCTTTTATATACCTTCCACCATCTCTCAGCTCCATCGTAAGATAGGTGGTAATACAACCACCACGTCACAAAGCTCCATTGTTGATTGACTTTCGTCATTCTTCACCGGTCTAAGTGGTGTCGATGGACCTGAGCACGACTTTCAATAAAAAATACGGCTACCCTGGTCATCGACCACTCGAACCTCCAAATAGATATTATATCCGAATTGACAGTGACCTCTGCATTAGACCTGGGTCTGATAACCGCTTGTTGAGGCCAGATCGTAGGTCGGTCAATAGCTCATTTTTCAGTAAAAAATTAGGCATCAGCTAGATGGTCTACTATTGGGTCTAGATTTCCACAATTTTGATAGCTCTGATACTCATTCATGATGACAGTTTCAGCTAGAAAAATTCTTCCAGTGAAGCACATTATCGTGGGCGAAAAGACCCAGAAAATTAAATACCAGTCAGTTGGTTGGCTTACCGATCGGCCTCCATGATGTTGTTGCGATCTTCTGGTAGCTGGATATGTCCCGGAAGATTGAGTATTTGATGGAAATCGTGATTCGCTTTGTTATCATGTTATTACAATCAATAATTGTGGTAAGGGTTTGAAAAGTCGATGGTCAGTCACCTGTTATCGAAATACAATTGCGAGGTGGGTTATTTCTGGACACCTTTTCAACCTCCTCTGCGTAGTTCCAATAATTCCTGGCTTCATACTTCACACTCAGATGAAAAGAGACGATTTATCATAATTTCTCAACTACAAAAAGGAATAAATCCCGAAGACTCGGGATTGGTGTTTTTGAGAGTAATTATTCTTGCGTTTGAACCAAGATTCTAATGGTACGTATCCCATTCATTAATCCTCTCACTCCAACTTAGTATTATCCATTGACTCTCTCCACAAAGAAATAAGTATCTACTTATTTGTTATCACTCTTCGAGGTCATCTTCAGCTAATGCGACAATACGTGAAAGAGGAAGGATTGGGGTCGAAAACGTCCTTCCCATTCCATCCGGTACTGTCCCGAGGCCGGTAAGGAATGATTGGCCACGCTCCCTGAACATGGAATAAAAATGTGGAAATATGTACCTCTTTCAATTAGTTGTTATTCAATAACAGATCTAAATATAAGCCTGAGAGTTAACATATTTGATGCATCTCAACTGAAGTTGTTTTCGTATAGTGATAACCAGGGTTAAAATCGTTCAAATACCTCACAAATTACTATAATCTCATCTCAAAATCTATTTTTAGGGTGATTGGTCAATTGTTCGTTACCGGCCTCGGTACTGGCCGCCAACGATCTTCGGATGATTATCGTCAATTTCGAACTACCTGTTCTGTTGCATCTCTTGTATACAAAGTATGAGCCGTCTAATGTTATTTTAGTCGCATACCTTCAAGAGGATGTTGAGAACAATGTTGAAGAACACACGGCAGATCGACACTGATGGACTCTTCTGGCATACCAGATCGAGATTCGTAATTTCTCCATAGACTATGGCTGAAGACGATCTTGTCAAAAGTTCACGATGACTTGTGCCTTTGGGGTGAAGAACTGATGAGATATTGACTGTGCTTGTTCCTTCAGAAGATGGAGGTACCATTGACTCTCGTCGGTGAGTCTACATGCCGCTGTTCTGAGTGTGAACCATACTTTCATTATTGTGTTTGCAGTTCCAAATGTCCATCGGGGCCTTCTGCAATGTTGGATATCACTTTACCATCCGCATGCTCAAGCAAGAATCGATATCAAACACAGTAGTCACAAAATGAAGCTTGCTTTACCGAAAGCTGGGATTGGAATCGTCATTTCTTCTTATGGGTTATTATGGTGGATCCGATCACTATTCTCGATGTTATTATCGGAATCAGCCACTAGCCACCACAAAGTTCTCAGATGTCTCAATCTCTAGCACTTCAATATCGTGGGGACGCTTCCTCGTGCTTAGATATGCTTCACCCCAGCATACCGGCGAGCTCTCTATTTTATCGTTGTTCTAATATCATCATTTAGTCCGGCACTTTTACATTTCAGTTCGAGACACATAGTGCGCGTAATCTTGTGGCACGCTCAAGTAAGATTTTTTGCACCAACATAAAGCTTCTCATCGGCCGGCCTGCTATCACAACAAAAGATTGCTGATTTTGAATCTATCTTCAGAGAGTAAGCTGTTCTAGGGTTTATATGTCTCTGGTACATTGACAATGCTTAGAATATTATACTTTCCTAGAACTAGTCAAGCATTCTCAAATATTGAAAGATTTCAAATCCATATCTTTCACTGCTCTCAGCACCAGAATCTCTCATTACTCTTTATCCCACTCCCCTTCAATTTATATCGACATCGCTGATTAAATTTAGCTTCTCCAACTACTATTAAAGCCTACAGAGAATATTCCCTATATTTACTTCATATATGGAATCAAAATCCGAAATTCTGTAAAGATTATGGATATTCTGATCTAGACCCTACAAAACAAATCCAGATTGAATCTCTTATACAAGAACCCCCAACGAGCAGATCATCTGGCAGTCGACCACCTCGAAATGCGCGTCAAAGGGGCAGTTTTATCTTTATCTCTGTTCGCAAGACATGAGTATGATACGAGGAAGCTGCACCGCTTTTAGATACTGTAGGTATCACCTCGGTGGTGATCATGACGTCTTTATAATAGATACAATGCATTCATTGGTATTGTATCTAATCTCTTCTAGGTTTTAGAACTACGAGAGCTATATGCAATACATTTATACATTAGTGTACTAGTACACTCACGTGTGCATATTCACTCGTATCGCTACAGATACAATGGTTACCACCATGAGACGGACGAAGCGAGCACTATTAACAAGATCTCCAATAGTTTATTCAACTCAACCCAGACGAAGAACTGGATAGTACCTGGATCCACAACCCGATTGTATAATTCCATCAAAGAAAACAGGATATGACATAATCCAAGAAATGTCCGAATATTCAGAGCCGTATCTCGATAGTGTGATAGCCGCTATAATATTATTCTATATAGCTATGATCATAATATATGTATATAGTATAGTATAATACAGTATAATACAGTATATCCAATCAAGTCGAAAAACATAATTTCCTAACCAATTTCTAGATAATAGATACGATACTAGTAATCATATCTCGCAATCCCAACTTCAGATTTCAAACTTCACATTCCTCTCGAGTAGGTAAATGAAAGTAAACAAAAATAAACAAAGCAAGCGCGATATGATATTCGTAGAAGCATCAAGATATTCATGCCCCCATTCCCTAATATATCTCCAATACTCTTTTCCAAAGAAAGTTCAAAATTGATCGGGATTACAATCTTCATACCTACAGGATTTCTTATATACGTACACGTCTATGATAGATTCTATATCCCTATAACCCAATACTCAAATCAAATATTAATTCATAGGATAGAACTTATTACACTCATTCATACTCATACTCACACACACCTACGCCCAAAATCAAGCCACCTCTCTCGGAAACATTTCTCAAGAGTTGATACTTAAATTTTAATATCATACTCATATACACACCTCCTCTTGAACCAACTCATTTCTTTTGGAAAAATTTCCCAAAGAATTAAGATACTCAAATTTTAATATTATACTCATAAACTCATAAACTCATAAACTCCCAATAATTCACAATCCAATCCACAACCCACAATCCAAACAATCCAAATTTTTCGAATACATACATACATCCATCCGTCCATTCTATTAGCTAGTTAGCTAGCTAGGTAGCTTGTGTATCAGGATCGAATGCAAATTAAAACTCAAAGTGAAGCAGAGAGAGAGATGAAGTGAAATAAAATTAAGTTAAAGCTGTATTGTATATACTATATCTCTAGCAGGAACAATACATAGAAAATCAGAAGCTCAGAAGCTCAGAAGCTCAGAAGGTTAGAAGCCCAGAAAACTAAAAGGGGAAATATACCTAATCGTGATCTTCTCTAACCCAGGTACTCATTCATTCTCATCCTCATTTCCCCCTCCCCCTCCCCCTTACAAAACCCCAAACCCCAAACCCAAATCCCAAAACAAGCCAAAAAAAATCAAGCCAAACCCACAATCCTCTTCGCTGCCCTCCCCTCCCCCCAAAACTCCTCTCGAAATCTAAAGTTACATCCAAACTCACTACTCAAACTCACCCTCTCCCCCCTCACTCTCCTCCCACCACAAAAGAAATCCTAGAACCCTAATCCCAATCCCAATCCAAATCCCAATCCAAATCCAACTCAACCCAACCCAACCCAACCCAACCCAACCCAACACCATACCATACCACCCTCCAAATCGAATCTTAATCATTAATAAACCACCACTCCCCCCTACTCACCAACCTCCTCTCCCTCCCCTCAAAACCACCTTCTATCCATCTTCCACCTTCTGCCTCCCCCCAAAACCATCTTCCATTCTCCATCTTCCATCCTCCATCTTCCATTCTCCAACCTCTACAATACTCATCAGCTACCCCTCCATCAACCCCTCGCTTGTTTTCATCCATACATCTACCTATACTACCTATCTAGTTTGTTTCATTATACATACATACATACATACATACATACATACATAATACAATTTAATTATAAACTAATAATATAATATAATATACACACACTTCATCACAATCCCATCAAAAGCTCACAACAATTCAAGCACCAGAGAATGGCATCATTTTTAAAGTTCCTCAAACAGTTTACTATTTAACCATCACACACAGTTTCCAATTCCCTCCCTCCATGTTTGTTTCCCACCCCGCGAGTTGTCATGTTACGA